CAGGTGAGAGCTCATCCACGCACCTGCAGGTTTGCCTCAACGCCACCTCGGCTTGGATTCTCAAAAAAGAATTTTAAAATGCCGAGGGCAGCCCTGCGCCAGCCCCGGGTCAAAGCAGCGATCCCTGGGGGAAAAAAGGAGCTGTGCCCGAAAAGGCGGCAGCTGCACTGGATGCGGGAGCATTTCAGCATTTGCAAATCCTGATGAAAACATCCCTCTTTCAAGACAGACAATATCAAAAAGTCAGTGTCTTAATATATTTTTTCCCGTCCAGGTATCTTCAGTCATTCCCAAGATGCCTGAAACTCATTTGTATGTTTTGGAAGAAAAGGTGTTTTCTGCTCCCAACAAAGCTTGTTTTTCCCGCCCACTGAAGCAAAGTTCTGTGCCCGAGAGATCCGGCCCCGGCCGAGACGGGCGGTGGAACGGACTCAGCAGGAGCGGTTCGGGGAGGCAGGTGGCAGCGGCAGTGCGGGAACGGAGCCTGGGAAGCATTTCCGTTCCAGCTGAATTAATCGCAGCCAGCCCATCTCTCATGGAAACTTGCTTGCTTCTGCCACACAAGAGATGCTCATACTTGGTGCATAAAAAGGGAAAGCTGTTCCTTCATCAGAGTTCAAATCCATCATCACAAGTCGGTTATCAGAGGTGGGTCTATATGGTAATTGCACACAAGTGTCTTATCAAGATGTGAAATACCTGAATTCCACCTTACCTTTTGGACACCACAGACTGCACATTCTATATAAAAGCATTCCTAAGGCAGTTATTCAAACCAGAGAGTTGACTTCAAAAGAAAAGTCGTGTGCTATCACTTTCTACTTTATCTCTTTTAAATTAGCCATGAATTTCCTAATATGATAATATTTAATAGGTCCTGTTAACAATTTATATAGGTCAGCACTCCGACATAGTTAGATTGAGAGTGCCTTTAGAAAGCAGGGAACAGATTTTTACTTTCTTATTTTAAAAAAATTATTTTTTTATTGACTTATTTTTACAAAAAATATACAGGAGTTGGTTAGATCATTGATACAACAGTTACAGCCCATTAAGATTTTAAACAGCCACCACTATTTCATTCTTATTTCATAATTCTGGGCTACGGAAAGAGTAAGCTATAAAGATTATCTAAAATGCAGAAACTTAAAATAATTTACTGTTTTCATAAATATTTCTCATTCCTGAACATCTTTAAGACATGAAAAAGGTTAGATGAGAACAGAATGTACTAGAAAATGGCCTTCTTTATTATTAGAGACATTGAGGTAAGTGGAGTATCCCTTGCATAGCACCCATCCAACTCAGTTTGAGGATAAGAAACAATCCAAGTGCAATATAAAGGTGGAAAAATACATGGTTGAAATAGTTCCACTTAAAAAATCCTTTAAACATCATTGTTAGGGACTGAAAACACTATGTTTTAGGAGTCTTACTTTGCATACACCATGGAAATATTCAGAATTGTAAAAGTCTCACAAATTTATTGTGTAAAACCAGATTCAATCACAAATAATCAGGCTGAAGGCTTGTCAAATACCAAAGGAAGTATAAAAATAGAAAACAATATACAAGACTAGAAGTAGTTAAGTATTACTGAAACCAAAGTAACACTGGAATAATTGTTATTTACAAAATCTTGCCTAATCTTTGAGTCCATCTTGAGCTACAGTAATCACTTCTCTACCTTTTTAGGAGATTAACATGCACATCTGACAGCTGTAAATAAGGAAATTAAACCGATATACACAAATGTATGTACATTGAGGCACAGGGCTTCGTAAAGACTTTGTTAGGCAGCGGTTACTGCCAAGAGTTGGTTTTAGTCATTTACATTTTAGAAAGCTTGTCGCACCCCCTCCGTGCCCCCTCCCAGCCCGGGTTATCGAACACTTAACTGCAAATTCGGAAAGAAACAAGCTTATTTTAATAAAAAAAAGTCTCCTCGGATAAAAACAATTTGGTGTTTGAAGCTGTGACGGGCTGCTTGTTACAAAAGGACTTCTTGCTGTGCAATACACAAATTTCTGAGAAAAACAACAGGAAGTAGTCCCCAGTGATTAGTTTGTGCATTTAGTATTAAAAATGCACTTATTGGACAAGCACCAAACCACCCCACATTGCAGTTGTGGAGAGCAATGTCATGACAATATATACACATTATTTTAAATACATATAGAAATTTAATATACAAATGGCTCTGAATATACAATAATGTGGTAAAAAAAATAAAATAATAAAACTATGGTGAGAATACCACCATTAGGCACAAAGTATTGCTGGTGTTAGCAATTTTAAGGGAAGTCCAAAGACAGACCGTTTATCATTTGTCTGGGTATTTCGAGATGAATCCCTTCAAGATAATGCAAGAACCTACAAAAAGAAAAGTAAAAGTGACTATAAGGGGACAAAGTTCTTTCCAAATATCAGGCAACACTGACTGTTTAAAGAAGCCAAAGCTCAGCTTTCTTGTCTAGAATTACGTGTCAAAATATTTCATTAAAATTTTTAACTACCTAGCAAGATTTAGGAAAACCAAAGCCTACCTTCTTTTAGTCTTCCCTTGCTCTTTAAGCTTCTCAGACCTACAGATACTGCGAAGAGTGGGGAGGTATTCAAGTATGCTGGCTTGCTTATTACCCAGGCTTAACGGACTTCGGGAAAACACAGTTCTGATGACCGCCAGCCTCTTCTGTGCTTTTATGTGAATGCTAAAACAGAGAACAAAACTTTATTTTTTCTGGTTCAAGAACGTGCAGTCCCTATTTTGTTCCTTTACGATCAAATCTGCTGTTTTAAAACTCTGGCAAATATTCTGATGTCCAAAACCACATCCCAGTGGGTTAGAGGTGGGCAACTTCTGACTGTGTCCTGCTTACACAGCATCACAAAGCTGCCCTGAGGCAGAAGCACGAGGAAGAGAAGTTTGTTTGGCCAATGCTCTTAAGCTAACTGTGGAGTCAAACCTGGGCAGGTCTTCCCAATTTAGTTACAGACACGAGGTCTAGTTCTGTAGGTGAGGTTACACAACATAACTGAAAGCAACTGCGGCCTTCAAAAATAAAAAATGTTGTTGTGATTGGTATTTGCCAGAATGTCAGTACAAGGTGCAATGTGTAACTCCTGATACATTGGCCAAACTTGGTCCCAGGTTAGACGGTGAGATCCGTTTTGACATTGCTCCTCTGGGTACTGCCTTACAGAAATAAGAGTCTAACCTATTTCCCTCGTCACACATTTAAATAGGTTTTCTTCACCTGTTATGCCCGTTTCAGGTGTGACGACTTGTTTATGTTAAAAACAAACTTTCACACTTGTATTTGCTGATCTTTTGTAATATAAAGATAATTCTTCATTAGCATAAATTACTACAAAACAAAATAAAATTTGCAGTAACTTCGCTCTGAATGATGTCAGGTCTTCATCAAGCAAGACCTGGGTGTTTAACATAGGTTCAATTTGACCAGGCACTGGATGGAAAATGTGCATGTCTGGTACTTGCAGAATCCATTTCAGTCCATCTGTTGGTCTTGAAAAAGCTGTTCCTTTAGGTTCTTGCTGTTCTTTTGGGGGTGGTGTTTGTCTGTTCATTTTGTAAAGTAAACAGACTAGATTAAGGCTGCCCTTCCTGAACAACTTTATAGTCACTTTTTGCAGATATTGCCAAGCAGTTAATTCAAGCTTTCAATCTATTTCAGCATGCTGAGATGTACTGACACCATTCATATTGGTATGAATGCGTATACAGCGCCTGAAACAGTCCTACACCCCTTGATATGCTCTTCTCAACAAATAACTGCATTGTATTCCAGAAATATCAGCAAAGTCTTACCTTGAATCAGCCAACTGACTGAAGGATACACCATTTCTTGTGTTCGAAATATGCAAAGTAAGTCCCTCCAGTTGGTCGCTTTCAGGTGTTTTACTGGTACTCAAAGAGGATTCCAAGTTTTGTGCAATACTAACAGAACATTTGTGAAAACTGAGTGCTTCAATAGCTGCCTTTATTTCACTACAGCTCTGGGAACTCCACCAATCAGTATTTTCTATACTGAATTCATCACAAAGACCATTTCTGATTTTGCCATTTGTCCAGTTGAATCCTTCATCTTTAGAAAACTCCAGTGGTTCCTTGGTGTTAGTGTTTACACAGCAGTCCAGGAAAGACATGTTCTCCACAAATTCAGTTAGTGAATTCAGACACTGAAAAACAAGAGCAGACCTTTTCTTATTTGCTGAGGTCTTAGTTTTAGTTTCTTTATTCAACAAAGATGTTGATTCCTTCTTACTCCCTTCAGCACATGATATAGGACTATCCGACGGCAAACTTATGAATTCAGATGAATAATTCAGTCCAGTATCAAATAAGTCACTATCATCTAAAATAGCAAGCCTTTTCTGCTTCTTTGTCTTTTTAGACTTTTTTCCAGAGCAGTAACTCTTAGTCGATCTGTTTTTTGAAGAAGCTATGGGAGTGGTAGTCCTTTCGGGTGTAGAGTTAGAGGCTTCAGATTGGTTTGAAAGAACTTGCACTGGTAACGGAAGAATAAGTTCAAGATTGCTATATATAAAATCCACTTTCTTCATCTGGAATTCTGTAAGAAGCTGCATCAATTTATTCCATTGCTCCGTGGTTGTGATTTTGTGCTGTAAAATAGTAATAATGAAAAAATTATTAGTACATTAAAACAACTTCCTTTTTTAAAATGCTATTACAGAAAATTTCATATTCCTGGCTTCATGTTTATGAGGCAAGGGACTGTCTTTCTTGGCAGGAGACTGCCCCAGTTCAGATTTTGCTTAATAATGACAAAATCCCCCAATTTCTACACAAACCTTTCCAAAGAGATTTGCTTCTGAGAAGATACTATTTGTAGTGATGATTACACTCAGTTGTCTGGCAATCACCCAAAGAATTTAGCTAGTCAACTACAAAAATACCTTGAGAAATGTAAACAAGTCTTCTGAAGGCAACAGGATATTCTTTAGGCCAAGCAATGTCTCTACACAGCCCGTATCACATTTTGGAAACTCCTGAAGATGCCCATCAGCTGGAGAAAAATCAATCTTGGAATCAGTAGTCTTTTCAGAAGGAATGAGGTGATCTGCTCGACTTGTCTCATCTCCTCCTGCACAAAGACAAAACGCTTTACTTGAAAAGAAACAATTGCATCATGAAATTGATTTCCCCCCTTTGCCTCAATTCCTTTTATAAAGGATTCCATAACTGTTGCCTCTTGCTGCAGTTGAATGAATAGAGCAACTGACATCACTCATCCCCATCCCCATTTCATCTCCTTGCTCTGCCCAGTTTTGCTACTCCGAAGAGGAAAGGGAGATAACTAAGTACTATAATACATGGGCAATAAATAGGTGCAATAAAAATCAAACTTTTAGTTCCTTATGCATATATACACAAGGCTTTGAAGTAGCAAAAAAAAATCCCAAACAACCAAACCCTTTCCAAATGTTTAGCAGTCTTACATGTCTAAGAATGGTTTGATTTAAGCAAACTCATGTTAAGATGGATTTTTAAAAAAATTAAATTAAAACCTACCATGATGTTCCAAACATTTGTCTTTCAAGCATCCACCTCCACTTCTAACCCAAAATTGTAAGCAGAGAACACTTTGTCTGATATCACAGTTATTTGTGGTCAGCAGAGCCGCTAAGTCCTTTACATCTGTTCGCAGATTCTCAGCCAGACACAGCACCTGAAGATAGCTAGCAGCGTTTATCTGAACAAAAGTTAGACAAAGACCACTGAAAACAACACCTACCCATCAGACCCAACACATCGCTCAGAAGCAAATTACTCTCTTTATGATTGCAATTGATTTTTACTTTTAATGCAGATTATTTAAATTACAGCCACACTGAAATCTCTGTAGAAGAGCGGAACAATGTACCAATCTAAACAGTCCACAGTTAGTTCCTTCTGATTCTCATTTATTTAGTTTTTTTCAGGTAAAACATAGTTTCAATAAAACTATTTGCTATACAGAATACTAGTATTTACATTTATGGAATAATCCATAATATTTCTAGAATAGTTCCTATACTTTTTAATGAATGAACCAAGATGTTCTTATCATAATTCTTTGAAATACTAAATAGTTAAAGAAATCTTCCAGGCTGGCTAGTAATAAAAATTCTACATGTAAAGGTAAATATGTCCTACACATCCTCGCATAAACCCCCCAAAACAGCCTTCTGATGAAAAAGATTTGTTACATCGGATAAAAATATAAACCTACATCAGTGTCTAAATTTCAGACTTAAATTAGCTGACAGTTACTTTCTTAGGACATATCTGCATTTCCAAACACAGACTTACCAGGGAAGGGGTTCTAAAGTTGATCTCTTCAAAATAGCCATCAAACATTAAGCTGAATGTTGGATCTATATAAAGAGATGGCAGTGAACTGTCACATTATTTTCTCTAGCCATTTGAGCAGTCAGTATCTTTATTCAAATACTAAAATACTCGCTTTATAGTCTCCACTCATTTAACTTTACATTTAGGACCATCATCATTTAAACAATCTTACTGGAAGAGGCTCTTGTGTCTGGAAAGCCCAATGACTGCACCGAGCACTACTCACCATTGGTAGTAAGAATTACAGGTCTCTTTGCAGTTGCCATGAATGTCTTTATTGCACTTAGAAATCCTGCATCCTCATCAAATATTATATCTACCTACAGAAAACAAAGTGCAGAACATCAGCACCCTTCCCAATAACCACGAGCTGTGAACGCAGTCGTACTGTTAACGACCAAGTGAGACTTAACACGAAGGTGGGTTTTTTTGAACGTGTGGGCAACGACAGGACACACGCTTCAGGCGAAGTCCACTCGTTAGCACCCAACCCTTCGGTCACAGCGCTCTGTGCCGAAGCTTACAAATCCCAGATGCCTGAAGCAAGAAGGGACTTCTGGAAGTCACCCTGTCCAGCTGCCATACTCAGGCTGTACTCAACACCTCACCCGGGGCCAGGTGATCTGTAGGATCAGCCCATATTTGGCAACATCGCGAAACCTCCTTAAAATTACATTCCTGGCTGCAGTTGTGTATTCTTAGTTTAAGATTCAAAGATATTTTTGGGCAAGAGGTTAATGGTGACTTTTTAAAGTGTCTTAGTGCACGTAAGTTGTGTAAAATTATTTATAAATGTATTTATTAACAAATAAAGGTATTTATTAATAAATGCATTCTTAATAATGTTGTGTAAAATTATTAATAAATACATTTGATACAGTCAAAGGAATTAAATTAGCAGAATCTTGCAGCCTGTTCCAACAGTGAGCAACTGTTGACAAACAATATTTTATCTTTTAAAATAACTTATTAGAATAATGATCCATGGTTAAAAAAAAGTACTCATGAGGACAAAATCATTAACCATTGAATTAATTTTTAAGTTGATAATCCTCACACTTCAATCTACCTGGAAGTCTCAAGGAAAGGAAAAAAAATGTTAAATTCCTTAAACACAACAAAAAGACATATGCTCACATCAATGTATTTTAAATGAATTTTACCTCTTCGAAAAGAATGAGAGATGTTGCGCTTTTTCTGTTGTGTTCTCCTCCTTCAACTTCTTTGTTTATTGACTTAATTGGAGCATCTTTCCTTTCTTCACATGAATTCAGAGTATTTCCTGCAGATGGACAAGTAATTGAGCAGGACGTAAAGGACCACACGAATCTGAAACAGGCACTGAGGTAACACAAAGTGTGCTTTTCTAACGACAGCTTTTAATTTATCTTTTCTTACCTAAACGCTGTGAACCACCCCCAAAAAGCAAGCAACTAAGGAAAGGCTACCGCACTTCACATTGCCTGTATCCTAATTAACTTGCCCGTCGCACAGAGTAATAACTGCTTCCCAGGTAGTTAAATGGACCTGAGGTGCATTAAGTAGCTCTGGCTGGTAGTTAGAGCGTAGTAAGCATACTCTACTCTTTTCTCCACACAGGTCCCCATACAAAGTAGCACAGTGTGGCTTTTAACCTCCAAAGGTTAACTAATTATTTAAATAGCGACACCTACCTTGTTTTTTTCCTTGTGCCAATACTGCTCCATCATTGCCTTTACGTTTGGAAGAAATTTTGAAATAGTTCGCAAGTGTTTTAGGGGGTAAGCTTCGTTTCAATCCTCCTCCTTTTGGTGATAGTGGAGGTTTTCTTGGTGAAACAACCTTCTTTGGAGAATATAATTTTTCTGCAAGGTATGTTTTATATTAAACTTAAGCTGGAAATGTAATCTCAAGCTGATGTTTCTTAGGCAAACTTAGAGCAATTCCCAGTTTTGTATCTAGTATGGGACAGGTTTACTCTGCTGATTTCTGTTTATTTTACTTTTTTTTCTGCTATAGGGAATGCCTTCCATTTAACTTCCTATTCAAGTGCAATAGCTTACTCCACCACTACAGAAATAAGATAATCAGGACTCAAGTCATTTTGATAACAACATTATTTAATTTGGTATGTAGTTGCACTAACCAAAGAAAATTTCTTCTTATTATGGCCAGATAATCTGAAATTTGCCATATTTTTTAAAACAACTGGTGTCTAAATTTGTTTTGGGAACTCAGTTCCTAAAACAAAACAAAAGAAAAACCCCCAACCAAACAAAAACCCCCAGATATAACCATGAAACTTACTTGGTGACTTGGTACTGCTACAGCTGTTAAAAAAGCAAGGCTTATGTGCATTAATGCCTTTTTTGTCCACTTGATGAGACTGAGTGGCTTCTTTTAGTTGAGACAGTATCTGTCTACCACTCCGCTGGCAAGAGGCATTGACTTCAAATATCTGCAATGGAATTTCACTTATATTTTAAAAAACATAGACATCCTGTATCAGTAATTGCTTCCTATCACTAGTTACAAAGCAGAAAGAAAGCCATGAGGAAGGGAGTGCACAAACCTTAAACCCAAGCTCCTGAGCGCAAGCATATACCGCAGCAGTTTTCCCCACTCCCGGTGGGCCAGTTATCAGAACTGTATTGCAAAGACTAGTCTCTTCCTCAACATCAGATTTATTATCTTTGAAGTCAAGGCTGTCCAAAGAATCTGTAGAATTAATTAAAAGAAAAAAAAGGATTGTTCAAAGCCTTATCAATTCACATCACTTTTATGCCAACTTTAACAAAGAGAAGTTGTATACATATTATTTTCAGTTCTATCAGTACCTTGATGCTCTTTGTCCTCCTTTTCCCCTTTCTGATTTCTTTTCTCTTCCCAATCAGCTCTTTTTTTCCACTCTTTTAACCAACTGCAAAAGGAAGGAACAGAACAAAAAAATAAAAATTACTGCTGAATAAAGTGAATCAAATTCAGGTGGAACAGAACATAAAACTAGGGGACATCAGCCACTTGTTACACCTCTCAGAAACCTAAAGAAGTTTCAGATCAATACAAAAAAAAAAAAAAAAAAGGTAGTTTGGGGTTTGCTTAATTCTTTTGTAAAAAAAGGACACCTTCTTCATTCTCCATTCTATTAGTTGATTGGTGGTATAAAACCAAGTCACTTAATGAACTACTTAAACTGTGGAAAATGCTTTTATCAATCACAGTTTAGTACTGTTCGTCAGATGGATTTTTAAATCCTGCCTAAGAGCCACAACAGTAACTTACACCCACACAGAAAATTTAACTGAAACCACAATATATTAGAAGGACTTGAGCACAAAATTACTGTCAAAAGCAGAGGCAGTGCATTAAGCGTGCTTGGAAGGAAGCACAGACAAGTCCTGGGAAGCTCCTGTCTCTCATTCAGAGCACATGAACTTAAATAACCTGACAAAAATAATTTCTACTAAAATTATAAGGCCATTACTTACTTAAGTATTCCATTCTATCCCACAGCCTAATGCAGCATTTCATGTGTGTTTTGGTTTGTGTACAGGCTACTGAGGTCTTAGTGTAAAAGAAACTATGACCAAAAGATCTTTCACAGCAGCTTAGAATTTGTTTCTACAATTTTCTGGAAGTAAACCCAAACACAGGCCACAAACATACAGCCTGTGTGTTACTTAAGAGTGTACAATAACTGATTTTGCTTCTTGGAGCATCAACAATGGGACTTTTTGAGTTATTTTAAGAAGGGATCCATGCTCCTACTTCTGACCTGTGCAGCCTTTCAATTTCTTTCTTGTTCCCTACAAGCTCACTGGAATCTTGAGGTTGATACTTTTCTGTCCAGAGCGTATCTTCCTTTTCAATACCTACAGAAGAAGACCCAAAACAATCCATGTAAAATCAATTTTCCGTGCAAAAGCGTTGATTTGGTCTAGCAGAATATTAACACTAGATATGATTTTTGCATCGCAGTAGAAAGCTACCATAAGTCATATACATTCCCTCAGCACAAAGACAACTAACATCAGGCAGAAAATGCAGTTACCTGAAAGTGCATTTGGCTCTGATGAATATTCAGTGTATTCTGTCATAGCATCTGGTTTCTGGGTCTTGTTTTTTCCCAAAGGTGCTGCTTGTCCTGTCTCTGCTTGTTTTTCTTCAGATACAGGAGAAATAAGGTTCCTGGGAACTCTGGATTTTATTTCAGTGTCTATACCTTCAATTTGTTTTCTTCTTTTTGATTTGTGGTCTTCTGTTTCTTTCCTTTTCCTCTTAGTTTCCTTCCAGTTGTCAGAATGTTTCTGATTTACCTCAGAATTTCCAAAGCTATCTCTGCTTTCTAAGGGGAAAAAAAAAAAGTCCTTAAAAAATTTCAATTATGTCCATTACAACCATACATTTCTTTAACCCATATTTGAAGAATTTGGCCAAAGTGACCTCAAATGTGAGGATCAATTTATTTCCAACAATGGTATTCCTTCACCAAAACTCAGAGAGAGCGTGAGCATGTGTTTATTTTTCCCTATGCAAATCACTAACCTTGTACACTGTTTTTAAAAGCCAATTGTTCCGTCTGCTTTTTCAGAAACTTGTGGAAGTATTTTCTTGCAGGAAATTGAGAATTAGAAGACATGATTTCCTCAAGTAAATCTTTCCTGAATATATCAGAAAAAGCTGGTCGGTGGCCAGAAAGCTGTAATACACACACACACACAAATTATTATAGGAAAATATTACACAGAAAAACAACGTCAGTTTTGCATAATTTAAAATGGTAGCTGTCTTCTTAAACTCGAGAGATTAATAGAGAGCCTTGAGAATTTTTCAATTTTCTTTTCATTTTTGTCGTAGCACAAGCCACCATTTTAAAGTACTAACCAGAGGTGTAGAACAGGATCCAGTTAACGTTGGATTCACAGTGGAAAATTCACCAAGCGCGAGTGTGATTTTTGTGACATCAGTGACGTCAGTATTCAGTTTCCTTAGCTTGGTTAACAGAGGACACGAGGGCAATTTCAACTGCCACATTGGAGAACCTACAAAAGAACCCCCACCAAAACCAAAACAAGAAACTTGTGTTAACAAAACAGAGACGCAATCACAGACAAAATCACCCCACAGGAACAGCTTTATCACATGAAAGCCCAGCTTAACTTATGCTGCATCAACTTTTTATCTTTATTAATTTTCCACCTCCCACAAACAGAACAAATCTGCACATTTCTGCATATGCTGTTTCTCCAGTAAGTAGCTCCTGTGCTCTGCTTGCTCTAAATAACGTGTGCCTCACCAAGGATTTTGTTTGGTTTTGGTTGGTTTGCCAATATAAAAACCTCTGTTAAGTGCTATTCTACCTTCTGCTCTTCTGTCATGCTCTGCCATAAAAACATTGCAGCATGCTCCCTCACTTTGTGGAAAGAAATGGGCTGTTCTTTTCTCTTTTGAGAAGTATTTTGCCTTTGTCAGAAGAAAACGGTTTCTGCCCAGATCAGTCCAACGTGATCTTTGTTCTCCAAACTGGAATTTTTTGGATTAAATATTAAAAAATTGGCATCCTCATCCATAAATACATTACTTTAGCATTGATTTAATTTGTAAATTGTGTATTCAAAAACATCTCAGTGGAAACTCCTTGTTTTTTCTTACTGTGACACAAAATAATAGGAGGTTCTGCTGTTTGAGTTTTTTTCTGCACAGATTTACTAGGGATTATTATATACATTTGCATAATGGCTGAACAAAAGCTTACAGGCATCCTTCTGCTGTACATGGACAACAGTCTTAAAACATGAACTCGCAAGAGCGTACGCTTCCAGTGCTGCTGCCTTCTTTGCAATCTGTCTTTTCAGTAACTCTGGCAATCCGCTCATCAAGAATTCACGTTTTGCTCTGAACTGATCATCATCCTGAGAATTTTCAGATGCATCTTGGCTTTAATGAAAATAGGAACCGAAAAAAAAATCATTAGAACTACCAGCTATGTGAGGCTTACAACAGAAGTTGATCACATTCACTTCTGCACACAGGTTAGAAATAGTCTGGGAGAACTGCTAAAATTAATTTTGTGCTAGAGATTTTAATTAAAAAAAAATAATCCTCTTTGGCTTTGTAATTTAATAAGCAATTTAGGATTTCTTTTTACAGGCATCAACTACATTTTAAATCATCTAAAATGGTTCAACAACGGTTGAGAGAACAACTATCCAAAAAAACCTCAACATTTTGCAAGCAGATTAATATACTGATCAGTACAGAAAAAAAGAGAACATTTATATTACAGTGTGACATAGTGCATTTCAGTTGTAAAGTGCATTGCAGTTGTAAAAAGAGAATCCTTAAAAAAAAAAAAGAGATTCTTAAGCAACTGACCTGCTTTCATCAAAGATCACAATTGGTTCACCTGCAGTGTTTTGAGCATTTCTGCCTAGGAAAGAAGGTGGATGTCCCAGTTTTCCTTTAAAAAGAAAATAAATAATCATGAGATTAATACTGATGTAGGATTCTAACCTTGCTTCTCTGTTCATTATCTACATGTTCCATTTAATAACATGAGTGAATCTCCTTTTCTTAAGGGAAAGCTGCGTATTTTTAAAAAAATCATTACAGTTTTATTTCTAGTTACTTCATGACTACAGATATTATTTTCTGTAGCATCAGGAAAAAAACTTAAATCAGAAGACAATGAAACATAGTATACTATCAGAAGTTTTTCAGTCAGTTTTCCCTGAATGAATAAAAATCAAAGCAGCTCATTTAAATAACCTGTGCACTATTAACTCATGTCATTAAAAAAAATGTATATATTGGAATACTATATTAAAAAACATCAGAAGCTGAATGTACTGCAAAATGTACACCTTTATAAAATAGTTATATTAAACCCAATTACCACGTGAGTTCTTTGCAACCATCAAGTTTCTAGGCTTTTTCCCCAGAACATCATTTAAGCTCCGAAGATTCTTTTGCTTCACATTCGGCACTCTATCAGTGGTCTGCACTGTAGTAGTGGCATTACTCAGGCTTGAATCTAAAATTATTATCGATTCCTAGAAGGAAAGCAAATAAAATAAAAAATGAATTACAATTTAGTGATTGGTATTGAGAAAACTGAAGGAACTGCTAGAGAGCTTAGAAGTTAGCAAACGTAACTGGAAGATTAGACAATACTTTTATTACTGCTTACACAGAAAAGTTATATAAGATCTCCAATATATAAACAAAGGCCAGAATTACACCCATCTAAATTTAAATGTCTATCACATACTCCTCTGAAGCAGACACCTTGCTGTGCCTCAGGAAAGGGAAACAGTCCCTTCTGAAGAGTGCCGCACGTTCTAGATGTGCATTAGGATGAGCTTTCCAGTCTGGGCCTGGCGGTTACTTCACTACTTGACCTGTACCACACCATTGCACAGATTCTTCAGAAGAAACGTTTGCAAGGTAGGAAACATTTCCATTGCTCAAATGAATCACACAACACATCAAAATAATTCCCAGCCCCTACAAATTACACAGACTTACGTCACTTTCTTCTAATTTTTTCTTTTCAGCAAGAGCTCGCTGTCGAGATGAGCGTCTCACGGGTGCTGGTAAGTCTTCGCCGACCTTTGATCTGTTCTGCTGTAGAGCCTTTGCTTTTTCAATCAGCTGTTTCGCTTTGGATATATTTTTAGAAGTAGAGCTCATCTGTTAACAAAGTACAATGGAAGCAAGATACCTCACAATTAATGGCGAGACAGAAGGGAGGAGGAAACCAGGATGACAGACTTTTCAAAAGGGAGCGAGAGCACTAACAAGGCAATCCTCCAAATTGTCCACTGAACAAATAAAATACGGGCACTGATGCATCAAGCACAAGCTGTTCCTGTGGTCAAATGCTACGTCCCATCCTGAGAACCTGCAGAACGTGAGCACTCTTTCACTGGATGTCTCTGTTATGTTATACATAAATATACACCAATAAAATATATGTCAAAATCGAAGGTACAATAACTGTACAAGAAACTATCTCAAATTCTATCATAAAATACAGCAATAGTCTCTCTTCACAGAGAGTGGTAAGTTGGGCTATTACACAATACTGAATAGTAACACAATTATATGCATATAGTAAATGACAAAATACCGCAACACAAACTGTTACATAAATTACCTTCATATTTTTGGGGTTAAACTCTTCATTTTTCATTGCTTCAGCTTTATTTGATTTTGCAGTCGCACCGATACGTGTAAACCTCATTCTAATTAGGAAAAAAAAGCGTCATGAAACTGTTACTTTTTAGTAAAGGGAAATGCTACTCTCAATCTCAATTTCAAAAGCATTTAAAAATCCAGTGCTACAAACAGAAGCACCCACCCAACTGGGAGCGTTATTTTGTTGTTCAGTTGTCAGGCTCTTTTCCTAACGCCTTTAGCGCAAACACATTTATAGATTCAGCTTCGCTTCTTTTATATTATCCACCATGATCAGTATTTATGCAGCTTTAGTACACATCTCAATCAACGTATAACTATGCCTTAAAGCACTTGCAGGAAAACAAAGTGTAGAAAAGCCAAGTATACGCTAAAATGTTTACCTTATTGGGCTGCTTCCATCAAAGGGCACTGTAATCACCTCGGCTTTATACATGTTACTTTTCTTCAAGGATCGCTTGCTTCCTTTTGGTGTAGAAGTCTGTAGAGCGCAGCCACTTAACTCATCTTCAGAAAAGGTATTTCTAATCCTGGATTTTTTAGGTGTACCATTTTTTGATGTTTTGATTTTCTTCTGTCTTGAACTCCTCCTTAACTCATGCACTTTTGGACTTGATAATCTTACCTCTAAGGTGTTTTCCTTAGTAAGAACATTAGCTCCTGAATCCTCATCTTCATTTGTAATATCTGAGACATTCATTTCCTTAGTTTCTGAAGTCTTCTTTCTTCTGTTTTCTTTTTTCTGAAACTTTTTAGGTCTTTTGGGTTTGGTTCTATTGTTTTCAGGACTAGAATGTGTGTATTTGTCCACACGATCTTCTGGAACTCCACTTTCTAATCCCTTGTTTGAAGCAATGTCATCTTCAAGTCCTTCTTTTTCTTTCAAAGACTTTCCAACGGTTTGCTTCTGTTTTCCAGGTGCTCTTTTAACTCCACATTTGACTACCTCTGATGTCGGTTGTCTAAATGCCTTCATGAACTGATGCCTTGCTTCCAGGGTACATTTTGCCTTCAAAGAATCTGACCCTGCTGTCTCTAGTATGGCTAACTCCAGTTCTTCCTCCTCAATAACTACGTTGGATTTTCTTTTCTGGGTGACCTGTTCAGTTTGTTCACTGTCCAAGAGGGGTGGGCTACTTTCTTTTTCTCCTACACATCCTTTCTGCTTCAAGAAAATGGAAGCTATTTTCCTAGAGCCTTTTTGCTCCCTATGTAATGGAGCTAATTTTGGGGGAACAGAATGAACTTGTGCAAGGACAGTTACAGTTCTAAGTGGTACCTGGTGAGATTCCTCACACTTTTCTGGGTCACTAATACAATCACTTCTGTCCGTTTCGCTTGCTGTAATGGAATTGTTCACTGCCGGCTTTGCATCTCCTTCAGCACGATTTACATTATTTTCTCCCTGACTCCTCAAGAAGTCCTCAAATGACACCGTTATTATGCTATTACCTCGATCCGGTGGCTGATCATCCCTACGAACTTCAAGACTGGAGTCACTAACAATAGCATCACACTCCTCTATTGTAGCAGATACCATCTTTTTCTTATCTTCAGTTTCCTTTTCAAACTCTTCATTCAGCTGGTTTTCAGATGAAAAACTTTCAGACAAATCCACATTTACTTTATGCTTACTTTTCCTTGATTTTCTTATCCTATTTTTTGTTCTATTTACCTGATAGCCAACTTTCTTTGTATTTTTTCTGTAGACGACAGCATTTGAGTTCTCTCTTTGCACGTTATCTTCCGCCAATCCTCTTGCACATTTTTGGTCAGCTAAAGCACAAGTAGCAATAAAATCACTACTGTCTTCTTTCAGTCCTGTTGTTTCTCTGCTGTCATCAGTACTAATTTCTATTTCACGTTCCTTCTCAGCTTCTTTCATCTCTCTTAGACTATTATTTAAATTAACTCTCCTCCCTTTCCTCTTCCGCTTTAAAGGTGGTTTAAAATGTGACTTATAGTCATCAGCATCCAACAGTGTTTTATTTTCTCCAGCTCCAACTGGTGACGTAGCTTTCTCAGTTACTGAGGTCTTTTTAAAATAACCTAATATGTTGTTGGGTTTTGGCGGTGACAACACTTTATCCACTGGTTTTGCCAATGGTGAAAAATATCTTGTGATTGTTTTTACAGAAGTATCTTCCTCTCGTCGTTTCTTGCATGGCTATAATAAAGTTCAACATTAATTTTAGTTTTTAAAGTGTTAAGATGAGTTAGTACAGTAATATAAAGCAGTTCAGTATCTACAGTACGTATTAGTGAGGCTAGGACTTCTTCAGAGAATAAAAAACTCACGTCAGCGTGCTAAGACTGTGTGCCCAGCAACTTTACCTTCATGTTTCCAAAAGTCATCTAAACGTGAAATAGAGATGCTGCCACTTCAAAAAACCAAACCAAACCAAACCACGTAGATCTGAGAACACCAAAATGGAAAGTGACCACAAGGTCTTCAGCTCTGCAGAGACTCCCCAACCCTGGGGCTCAGAGCAGGGCACTTCAGCTCACAGGATCTCCCCAGAGCTGGGGGTTTGACAGAGAATTGCAGCGTCGCTGACAGACACACGATCCCGTCACAAGGAAACACCTGACGTGCTCAGGGAACAAACTCTGCCTTTTCCAACGCTGAGATGAATAGAAGAGAACTCATATCTCGTAATTCGAACCACAAAAGAGAATTTATCTGTACAACTCCAAGAAAGACGCCTCGCAAAGACTTCTGCAATTCTGCCAGTTTCTGGTACACCGACCTCTTCCCCAGCC